ATCATTTTGAGTATCGTCGAACCGTAAGGTCGCCATTTTTGTGAATACTCGGTTGTAATTGGTCGGTACGTCTTACGTTACTGTTATGTCAATTCGTGTGCAGCGCCCTTTAGGGCCTCCACACACAAATTTCCGTACGTAAGACGTACCGTAAGAATTGACCAATCATTTTGAGTATCGTCGAACCGTAAGGTCGCCATTTTTGTGAATACTCGGTTGTAATTGGTCGGTACGTCTTACGTTACTGTTATGTCAATTCGTGTGCAGCGCCCTTTAGGGCCTCCACACACAAATTTCCGTACGTAAGACGTACCGTAAGAATTGGCCAATTACGATTGAGTATTCATCAAAATGGCGGCCTTTACGATTAGATAATTCTCAACGTGATTGGTCAATTCTTACGGTACGTCTTACGTGAAGACCCTAAGGGCCTCCACACACAACTTGACAATAAGACTTGAACAGTAACGTAAAACGTACCGTAAGAATTAACCAATCATGTTGAGAATCGTCGAACCGTAAGGTCGCCATTTTGATGAATACTCGGTTGTAATTAGTCTCGTAGTCTTACGTTACTGTTATGTCAATTTACGTGTGAAGACTCTTACTCCGCATATTGTAGACAAGGTCTTAAGAGTCTGCAGGAGTCATAGTAGAGACCTCTCGCGGAGACCCTGGAATTAATTTGGTATGTTCGTATTTTATAAAATTTTGAGCAAACAGAAAAATCGTCATATAATTGTGATATTTATAATCAGAATAATAACCCGAAGAGTGTTACAGAGCGTTTTCTGGGAAAAAAATAAATCTGAATAAAAATGATCTAAATTATATATGAATTGATCATACGATGCGGTATGAATCTATACCTTAATTTATTATAAGTTTTTAAGGGTCTAACCGCAATATTGAATTCGGTAACACCCTTAGTACTAATGCAAGGAAAACATAAAAAATTGTTTGGTGAGCAACTGTAATATTTATGAGACAAAATATGTCAAATTACAGATACTGCGGAAAGTGTAACCCAGCTGCACTAACTTGCAGCTGCTGAGTCCGCGCGAGCGATGCATTAGATTCGTATGTGTATGAACGTACAACTACACACACAGAACGGTTTGCGTTCTCGAGACCTCTAAAGTCAAATCAGAATATGCTCTTGGCTCCTGCAGACCCTTAACCCTTTGAGCCTCTCGAAGAATCCGAGTTTCGAGAAGAATGGGTTGTTTATCGACCACTAAATGTTCCCTTCACTGCGGACCCACTATGACCGAGACGGGATCGATCTTTACTCGAGGGACAAGAATTTCGAGGCGTCTGCGACGGCTTTCCGAGTAATTAACGATAGAAACACGGAGAACGAGCAGATGTAATCTGTCCTTCGCGCGGGAGAGATAACAAATAAAATAATATTATCCGATCGATTTGGACTTCGGTGAAGCTTTAACAGGAGTCAATTACCGCGCCCATTTCCGTTGATTGCACAAAAGCTCAGCTGATACTTGAGTCATCAAAGGCGCGATAAATAAATGTAAGTCGAATGTATCTTTCACCTCGGCTCTCTCTCTATCGTGTTCCACTGATCTTTCAAACATAATAAATTATCGAAATTAATTCATCGAAAATGTCAATATGCCTTTAAATATGCAATTATACAGTCACAAATGTTAAAATTTTCATGTACTACCCATTTTGCTGTTATTTTAATGTTATGTTATGTTAAATTAACTAATATTACTATATTTTAATTTTTGATGTTTTAATTTGTTATATTAATGTCAAAAAACTTAATAACTTAACGTTTATTATATGTCACTTAGAAATAGAATATTATTTTGAGTTCTTTTAACACAATTATTTTAGAAAATGACATTTTTTAAAATTACCTTAATATTAACAAGAATTTGAAAACGAATCTTCAAATCACTGTAAACTTTAACATATAGAATAATCAAATATATTAAGAGAAAATGTTTTTATCATAAATAAAATTAAAGTAACTAATATCATGTGTTAATAAATGAAAAATAAGTTATAACTCGTTCACTTTTATATACGTTATATGAAGAAAAATGTCCCATCGACACTCCTTACAAATTATTTTATATAACTTTTCTAATATATTTTTTTTTACCATTCTTTATGTCATTTTTACATTGAGCTTAAAGTCAAAATAAATGTAAGAAGAAAATTAGTAAGTGTCAATTTATCAACATTCATAATTCATCCATAAATAATAAACCATGAATATGTTATTTTTACATCAAATTTAGAATGAACTTTCTGAGACATAAAAAATATTAAAATTAATATTTTATTTTTTATTGTGCAAGGAAAAATTGAATAAGAGCCAAAACGAGATATAAGTTGAGAATATTTAATTAACCATTATATTTCATTAACTCCTGAAGAATATTGTGTTCAATGTTTAAAGTTTGATTGAGTCACATAATAATTGAATATTTCGCAAGTGAGTATGTCCCGGATTGAGTCTTATCTACTTGTGTTTAATTCTTTTTGCAATGAATTATACACACAGAAAAATACCATTCTGTTGCAAAGAAAACAGCCGTTACTTGATTTATGTTCCTTCTTTTGAGTAGCAGTTATCTTTAAACTAGGAATATTCTCGACAACATCTTGAAATATATTTATTGCAAATTTTAGAAAATCTCAAATAAATTTATTATGTACCTAAAAGAAGAATTCTATTAATTTCTATTAATTAATTCTATTCTATTTGCAAAAATATGATAAAACTGTGCCGAAAAAAAAGTTGATTAAACTCTATGTAGTAGCAGCAGTAGTAAGTAAATTGAATTTTTACTTTAACATTCTTAATTGGAATTATAACTTAGAATTTTTAAGTATTTTGAATATTTGATGTGTTTATAATAATATACTGAGAAAAAGTCAGCAATTCAGTGCAATATTTGATAATTAATAACAAGTAATCTGGTAATTAAATAATTTACTAAACTTTTATTATTATTAAAGTATTTCGTTATTTCCTAGATTTCTCATGTAAAAAAACATGGTAAGCACCACTATTTATAAATATAATTTTATTTCAAAAATTGTTTAATGATATGTACCACATAAATTAGTAAAAGTCCCCATGCCTTAGCAGCAAATACTAAGGTTTGCTAATTGTTAATATTTAATATTAATATTTCAAATTATTTAATCATATTCAACTACACGTTTAGTTGAAACTATCCTCCCATTATTATCCTCCCATTCTAATTTATTTGCACGAACATCTAGCATTTGGCTCTTCTTAGTCTTATCTCTCTTAATTATTTCGTTTTAGAACTCTAGATATATATTTAGTTGTTTGAAATCAAGCATAACTATTTCATCAAGGCATATACCAAACTTTTTCTTCAGTGTATAGATTTGCAAATATATAAACTTATCTAATATATCTGATGAAACACGTAACATTGATTCGAATGCAGTATGTATTTGTCCGTGTGTATTTCAAGTAACTCAATAAGGCATCGCCATAATCCGTGATTCGACGATACGCGGGAATGCCGGAATTTTTTTTTTTTTTTTCAAGAAGTCGCGATAAGATTGATGAGATCTCCGACTGGCTGAGCAAGTTACGGTCGAAAGGACAACATTCTCGAGTTCCGGGACACGACTACTCCCCAGGGATAACCGCTGCAACTGTGCGAGAAGCGAGGAGACATCGATTTCCTCATCCTCGTTTACGGACATCCGACCCTTTTAGGATCGAACGCTTTCTATCCCCCTCTTCCTCCCAGACGTCGATTTCATCGATGAAGTCCTTTCACCGACGCAACAGCCACTCGGGGCTCAAAGGATCGTCGTCACGTCGTTAACCCTTGAGCACTGGCGGTGTTCCGTAAACTTGATACGCGCTGTTACAACGCGAAAGTACGACACCTCGAACACGTATAGACGTAAGAAGACGTCCCCCGAGTGAATGACGCGAGGAGACTCTCGCGCGAATGCACATGTAACCTGCGACATATTCAAGCGTAATGAATGTGTGTGACGTCGTCTGCAACCCGGCGCCAACATCAACGTTACGACGGCACGCGCCGGTGCTCAAGGATTTTCACACGCGACTCGCCTCTCGCACCGTCTCTCTCAGCGACGAGCATCTGTCCTCTCCTTCTCTCCCTCTCTCTCCCTCTTTCAACAACCATGAACTTGGCTGGACATACCACCACCTCTACATTACGTTCGCGGAAAACGCGGACACACTTGTACTCCGAGCCTCGCGCTCGTGATCGAAACGTGAGCTCCCGTTCTCCTCTCCCCCCCCCCCCCCC